TGTAACTCAAATATGAGAATATAAAAGGTTTAGCTCTGAAATCATGGCATTTGAGCCCTAGTGATAAACATGAAGCATAACAAAGTCATAGCAACATCAATCTAATAATATAACAGTTTTGCTATTTCACATCTAGATGTGAAATAGTTATCTCACATCTAATTTTTTAACCACACAATTTAAACATCAAGATTCGTATTCTTTTGTCCTTTTTTTTCTTTTTCTTTCTTTAGCATTTTTTTCTTTTGGTGTTGTTCCCACACGCGTTGCCCACGTGAGGAGACCCTGTAGTGGCATGTAGGCCGTTCTTTGTTTTTTCACTGCCTCGTGGTCGGGGGTTGCCTCGGCGTGGGCTGCAGCCACGAGTAATTTTTTATTTTCTTTTTCTCTTTCCCTTTTTCTGTTTTAATTTTTTATTTATTTTGTTTCAAATTTGTAAACATTTAAATTCTGCAATTTTGTTATTTTCTTTATTCACTTCAATTTTTTTCTTTTCTATTTTTTTAGAAATTCATGAATTTTTTTCATTGTTGTTAGTTGACTGTCCACCACCAAACAGAGGTGTTGTCAATTTTCTTGTCTCAGTTGCAAGACCACACTCGACGCGCTACTGTGGTGCGAGCTTTTTTTTTGTCCCTGTTGCAATACCACCCTGGATTTGCAACTAGTCCTTGACTTTTTTGTCTCAGTTGCAAGTTCACCCTCAATTCGCAACTGCCCGCGCGGCCATTTTTTTGTTCTAGTTGCTAGTCCACCATCGACTCGCGACTAGGGCCCGTTCTTTTTTTTAGTTGATAGTCCAACCTCGACTCACTAGGATTAACCATTTTTGTCCTAGTTGCAAGTCTATCATCGGCCCGCAACTGGTCCCAACCTTTTTTGTACCAGTTGCAAGTCCATCCTTGACTCGCAACTGGGGCTTGAACTTTTTTGTGTCAGTTGCAACTCCACTCTCTGACTCGCAACGGGGTCCAACACTTATTTTGTCCTAGTTGCAAGTTCACTCTTGACTCGCAACCGGGTTCCGACCTTTCTTTGTCCCAGTTGCAAGTTCATCCTCAACTCGCAACTAGGCCCATAGTTTGTTGTTGTCCCAGTTACAAATCCGCCCTTATCTTGCAATTGAGAATTCTTTTGTTTTCCATCTGAGTTGCAAGTTCACCCTCAACTTGCAACTCGTATCATTGTTTTATATACTTCTCTTAGTTGCAAGTCCACCCTCGACTCGCAATTAGGGCGCGGCATTTTTTTTGTTCCAGTTACAAGTCCACCCTTGACTCGCAATTGGGCGTTGACCTTTTCTTTATCCCAACTGGGCTCTGAGCTTTTTTTTGTCCCAGTTGCAAGTCCACCGTCAACTCGCAACTGGGCTCTGAGCTTTTTTTTGTCCCAGTTGCAAGTCCACCGTCAACTCGCAACTGGGCTCTGAGCTTTTTTTTGTCCCAGTTGCAAGTCCACTGTCAACTCGCAACTAGGCCCATAGTTTGTTGTTGTCTCAGTTATAATTCCACCCTCGACTCGTAATTAGGCACGTAATTTGTTTTATCCCAATTGTAATTAGGCACGTAATTTGTGTTCAAAAAATATTCGGCAATTCAAAATTGTTCTTAATTTGCAAAAAAGGGTTTCAATTAATTTAAAAAATGTCTTCTAATCTCCACCCTGTACTGTGTTCTTAAACATTTCCCGTTTCATTAAATTGGCAGCATGTAATGGTTGGAGTGGTAGAAGACGTTGTTCCCAAGACTGAGGTCTCCAGTTCGATTCATGTGTCGGTTAGTGCGTCAATTGTAGTTTTTTGGTAGCGCTCCAATCGGCCAGATTCCTGTGCTAGGTAGCGTGTCACTTGTAATTCTTTTTAGCCCTCCAGTCGGCCAGCCCGATAAAAAAAAGAAAAAACAAATAAGAGAACAAAGCGGCAGGCTGTACCAGTACTTAGATGTGAGATAATATCTCACATCTAGATGTAATATAGACAGACCCATAATATAATAGAATTAATTCCTTGTGAAGCCAGCCAAAAAAATGCATGTATCTATCGAGGGAGGCAAATGAGGAGACCACCCACATTTTTTACGAGAATTAATCGCATCCACAGCATATAGGTAGTCGCGTGAAACTGCCCTCATTTTTTTTTACAGGAATTAATCGCATCTGCGCCATGTAGGTAGTCGTGTGAAACTGCCCTCATTTTTTACGGGAATTAATCACATCCGCGCCAACCTGTCTGGCTTTTTGTTTTTGAACACAGTACAGATGTAAGCACTCATATAAAGGCGCATACACTCACCTCTATGAACACACGCGCACACTCTATCCTTATGAGCACCTCCGAGAGACTAAGCCAGCATATCATTTCGAGATATTACGAAGTCACCGTAGGGGCCTTGTAGTTTCTTTTTTTTTGTGGGGTAGGGGCCTTGTAGTCAACGGAAACGTCTCCTCCCACTCAACGCGTGCTGCCGAAAATCCTGAAATAAACCCAGGATAAATACGAGCACCAGGATTTGAACCCTGATGGGCTAGGGATACCACTATCCATCTAACCATCCAACCACAGACTGCCACATCGAATTTGACTCCAGCTGGGACTAGATGACGCCAAATAACTTGGCGTTATCATGTTTATTAAAAATGGTAAATAAATTGGCGCGAATCTAGAGGGTTAGGCCACGAAATAAGTTTTAAAAGGGGTCAGTGAATGAAATAAGAACTCCATGAGTCATTTTATGCAAAAAGAGAAAAAACACTGAGTCAGTCGCCCACTCAAGTGGGTGGGATGTGATGATGATCGCAGTGGCACGCACCCACCAACCCACCCAACCAACACGTGGTAATTTAGGTGCAGCTCAAATTATTGTATCGCTTCTCCCAGAGTGCCCGTCCACCATACATCATCTCCTCCTTCACTCCGAGTCTCCATTGCCTTCACGAAGCAGCAAGCAGCCCGAGGAAATGTTTTGAAAGTATTGTCCAGGTACTAGTAATTATCAGTTTCTTTTCATCGAAAAGATCTCAAATTGCAGGTGGTCTTCTCGCTAGCTTCAATTCAATTTGAGAAGCTGCTCTTTTTCAGTTTGCTTATGTGGATCGCTGTCTGCGGATTCATCACTAATTCATCGCAGCTGCTCTCTGGCAGATCCATTTGCCACAAGTTTGCGGCTCGCAGCTGTGCTGTTAAGCGGCACGTACATGCATTAAAAGGAGGGTCAAACTCATAATTACTGTGTTCTATTTGCATACATAATACTGTATATTGGTGAGTGATCTTAATTTCTTCGGTTGATACTACTTCAATTAGTAGCTACCTAAATAAATTGGGGATTTGGATCTAGTAGCTACAAGCTCATACATAAGGCTGGTCATAGTAGTAGGAGTAGCATAGATAGTAACATACTCCCTCCGTCCCGAAATACTTGTCTAGATACATCTCCTTTTATCCATTTTGATGACAAGTATTTTCGGGCGGAGGGAGTACATGTTACATAAGCAAAAATAATAAGGTGACAAGTAATTAATAAGGGAAGAGACAAATAGAGTAACATAATATATTACTATCGCATATTGCTTCTCAATGTAAAACAAGTCTACAAAATAATAAACGAAGATCAATATGTTACCACTTTTATATTATTACCCACTATGGAGGTAGTAACATCTATTAATTTTTTTTAGAAAAGAAGGAGGACCCCCGGCCTCTGCATCTGGACGATGCATGCAGCCACTTTATTAATTGTTCACACAAGACCGTACAAAGTCATACAACAGTAAGACTAAAGCCATCATCTAGGCAACATCTTTCGCTACTCCTAACCAGTTGATGAAGGGGCGCTGATAGTCTGGGCCTAATACCAAACACACCTCGCATCCAAACCTAACATGTAAGACCTGAGGTCCCAACCAGGACGCCTCCCGGGTATTGGGCACCCACCAGTCCGGTGCACTCCTCAACCAGGACGCCTGCCGAGTATGAGGCCGTCGCAGCCACCTGCCACCAATTCATCTTCAGTGTTGTACTGCTGCATCAACCTTGCCCAGTCTCGCTGCCGTCGACGCCAACATGGCGCCAGACAACTCCACCGCCCTGCGCTCGTCCATCTAGCCGCATCCGTCGTCGATATGCAGCTGCACCATGCCGCCAATACTCGTCGTCATCGACGCGGTAGATACAACGTCGCTCCTCCTGCCAACCTCCACACCATCATCGTTGTTCGAGCTATGCGGAGTCCACCATCCCTAGCACCTCTCCCCGAACAACTGAGCCTCCCAAGACGGCGCCTCCATGGAGGTTACGACACGCAAGACACCGCTGCCGCCCAATCCAATCTGAATTTAGGACTTTCGTCCGGGAGGTATTCAGAGGTGGATAGGAGGGACCTCGGCTTCACCTCCGGGAAGGTAACGACGTTTGAGGGACGTCACCGATTCCGGGCCGGTTCAGTCGACCAAAGTTTCCTCCGGTCCCCATCCTATACCACCAAACTTCGTCTGCTCCGGATCCGGCAGCGAGCCAAGAACCGAAACCTACATAGACGAGATTTCCATGGGGTCGAGAAGACATCCGTAGTAGATTCCAGGCGTCGAATCAGACGATCCGACGCAGCCAGTGGCGAAGACCACCATCCCGCGCCGGCCGACCGTGTCCAGCGTCAGATCGAGATCCGATCTGAACCCGGCGGCACCCGCAACCTCCTGTCGCATAGCCATCACCACACAATGCGATGGGATCTCGCCGCCGCCACCGCACCGCGCACAGCGTCGACA